TGTTACTAGTAGCTTCTTGTTACTACTAGTAAGGCACCTGTTACTACTAGCGTGGCACCTGTTACTAGTAGCTTCTTGTTACTACTAGTAAGGCACCTGTTACTACTAGCGTGGCACCTGTTACTAGTAGCGATCAGGCCCTGCCGTTGGGAGAAACCGCGTTTTGCAGCGCTTCGTGCAGCGTTTCGTGAGGTCAGGACGTTTGGTCGTGCCATTGGGATGGGCGTTCGCGGTCGGGTGCTACTAGTAAGGCCAGGAGCCCCGTTCGTAGCGTCCTTGCCCCTAGTAGCGATGCCCTTTTTGGAGGTGTTGGATATTGCGGCGTCTTCGAAGCGGTGCTTTCGTGTCAAAAGTGAGAACGTGTTGAGAGTCGAAATCTAGTAGTAACAAGTGCATCGCTACTAGTAACAAGTGCCTTACTGGTAGTAACAAGAATAACTTAATTAGAATTGTAAATACTAGCTTCTTGTTACTACTAGTAAGGCACTTGTTACTAGTAGCTTCTTGTTTGCCGAAATGCAGATGTGATGTGGTAGCGATTCGTGGCAGGCGCAGTACTTTGTGCGTGGAGGTGTCGAAGTGAAATTTTCGTGGCAGGCGCAGGGACCTTTGGGATTGGCGTGTCAGCCCTTTGGGAATGCGAAGCTGCTTGGCAGGGCTGTTTGATGTGCTCGTGCTGATGAGGCTTCCCGCTTGACTTTTGGAGGAAGTCTCGTGCCAACCCTGTGTGATGACTGTTGGAAGATGCCCTTTGCTAGTAACCTAGTAGTGATGCCCTTTGCTTGTTTTGGAGACTTGACGCAGCGACGCGTGATTTTGAAGGGGGCCTCGTACGAAATGCTTGTTCTGTACCCCGAAATCAGAACTGACTGTCGGGGCCTAGGTTGTGGGAGATCCGGGCTCAGAAGTGGTACCGGGCTCAAATTACGTGTCTGATGTTGGTCTGCCATACGGTTTTGTCGCAGCATGGGTAGAAAGAGCATTTGCGTAAGCTCCTTGCCATCGGGGAACGGCTAACAGTGGCGAACATGTGTGTGTATATAAAAGCCGCGTGTCGATAATGACCGGGATGAGTTGTGGTCGCCAAACATTGTACAAGAGTGCCCGACAAGAGTGTCAAACAATGTTGGGCCGTTTCTTTTCGAGCGCGTGTGTACATTCAGGTTCGTGGGCTCCATCTTCTTTTTGTTTCTTCCTTTATCTTTAGACTTTTGGACCTTTCTTTCTTTGGACCTTTTTGTCATCAAACATCCACATCTCGTTGAAGCCATTCTTAAGTTTCCCAAACATCTAGGAACCAATTGAATAGCCCCGCCGCCTTTAGGGCGGCCTATCCTGCATCCCAGGTAGTAGCTACTTAAGCTACTAGCGACTCCCTAGCTTCTACTAGCACTACCTACCTAGCTACTACCTACATCTACTAGCGGCCTACCCCTTAAATAATAACGAACACACAAAATATCGTCACGCTCTCACACCGCTAATCTCGCACTCCCAAGAGACTTAACACTCGGAGTGTTTTTCTCGATTCTCTCCTGTGCCTTTGTGAATGGGTGGGCCACATGTGGCAATACCAGCATCTCCTTTGGGCTGTTCGAAAGACGGGGAGGGTGTTCGGGGCCCAAGTGCACCTTGTCACGCTTTCATTGGCGTATTCCAAAAAGGCACTACTCACCACTTCTTGCTTCTAGTAGCTTCTTTTTACTACTAGTAAGGCACTTGTTACCAGAAGCGATGCACTTGTTCCTAGTACCGATGCACTTGTTACTACTCGCCAAGAGTCCACTAGTAAGCTTCTACTTCTAGTAGCTTCTTGCTTCTAGTAGCTTCTTGTTACTACTAGTAAGGCACTTGTTCCTAGTAGCGATGCACTTGTTACTACTCGCCAAGAGTCCACTGTTGTAAATGAACATGGATTGCGAACGGAGCCGCAAACCAAACTGAAGGACTTTGCAATTCTCTTTGACGACCGACATGGCATGCCAATCGGAGAAAGCACCATCCAGTGGTTGAAGGATGTAGTCTGCAATTTGCCTCAAACCAAAACGCAGAACTGTTCAAAGAACGTCTCTGTTTTCAAAAAGGCTTCCAGTAAAGGGTCTTAGGTGGACCAGGTACAGTTCGCAACAAACACGGACAAGAAGTGATAGCAAAGGTATCGGAATTAGGAAGCAACTCCCCTCTGAAAGCTTGAAGCTTTCGCAGCTTCGTTCGTGAAGCTTTCACCTTTTTCTGATCTTTCTTTCTTTCTCTTATTCTCTTTCGACCTTTACCTTTAGACCTGCTCTTTCTTTCTTTCGTTTTCCTTGCTGGAACCTTTTTCATTTGTTTTCCAAGAGATACCGTATCTAAGTTCCATCCATGGTCATCCATGGCTCCGAGTGAATGACTGCACCGAAACTTTCATTCACTTGAGTCACCACCAAGAGAAAAGAAAGAACGGTCCAAAGAAAACATCTACAAAGGAATAAATAGGTGTAAAGAAAGGTGGAGGCCATCGCTAGTAGCTTGGAGGCCATCGCTAGTGTGTTGGAGAATCTTGATAGACAAGCAGTCGTGCCAGTGCTTTTGTTTCATAAGCTGGCCACTGTAGGGGATGGATGTGGCCTTCTTTTTTTGTGTCTCCTTCTCCTTCTCCTTAACTTCTCTTCTCTTCCTTTGTTTCCTAAAATGTACTAGGAGCAAGGACGCTACTAGGGGCTCCTGGCATCGCTGCTACTAGGAGCAAGGACGCTACCAGGGGCTCCTGGCCGGTACTACTAGGAGCAAGAAGCCATTGGGAGGGAAGCGCATTTGCCTGAAGATGCTTCGAGGAAGCAAGGCCCAAATAGAAGTGCAGCGCGGATGCGAAGCGCCTAGCAAGGCGTGGGTTTCGACCTCAAAAAACACAGCGAACAACGTCTCAACGGCATACAAAGCATCGGAGCAAGGGCATCGCTACTAGTAACAAAGGGCTTTACTACTAGTAGCATTCTTACTACTAGTAACAAAAAGCTACTAGTAACAACATAAAGAATGCCTCAATGGCCTTCTTATACCCAGAAAACTGGACGCGAGACAAACTCATACAACTTGCAAAACCACGTGCTGTTCCAAGGTCAAAACAACGCTCTGCTCTGTGAACTTCTGCCTTCTCCTCAATCGGTTGAGCCGCTAGTAGCGTCCTTGCTCCTAGTAGCGATGCCAGGAGCCCCTAGTAGCGTCCTTGCTCCTAGTAGCTCCTAGTAGCGATGCCAGGAGCTCCTAGTAGCGTCCTTGCTCCTAGTAGCGATGCCAGGAGCCCCTAGTAGCGTCCTTGCTCCTAGTAGCTCCTAGTAGCGATGCCAGGAGCTCCTAGTAGCGTCCTTGCTCCTAGTAGCGATGCCCTTGTTACTAGTAGCTTCTTGTTCCTAGTAGTAAGGCCAGGATAGCGTCCTTGCCCCTAGTAGCTTCTTGGCGGAAAAAAAACACATATAAAAGGAACATTGACATTGACAAGAAGAACATAGGGACAGGTCTAAAGATGCCTAAAGGTCCAAACAAGAACATAGTAACACAAAAGAAACCACATAATCTTAGACACGGCCACGCAGCATCTTTTGTTCTGACAAACATGCTAGCATGTGCTCCTGGCCTTACTACTAGGAGCAATGTTCGCTACTAGTAACAAGTGCCTTACTAGTAGTAACAAGAACGCTACTAGTGCTAGCATGTGCTTGCCAAGAGACAACATGACTGCAGGCCATTGGCACGCATGCACTAGCAAGTGTAAGTGACCTCTTGTTTCTAATAGCTTCTTGTTACTACTAGTAAGGCACCTGTTACTACTAGTAAGGCACTTGTTTCTACTAGCTTCTTGTTACTGTATCCATGGAAGAAACCCTTGCCCATTTCCCAACTTCTTTGACTTTAGGAGGCCTTTGGTCACATTCATGTATCATGCAAGGCCAGCAAACCGCCTAAGCAACCATTTTGATTCTTCACCTTGTCACGGAGTTTCCACCACTGTGCACTTGAAGGACACTGTATTAAGACCCCTGAAGCCCCTGTCTTATGTGTTCTTCCTTGCAGTTCACGGTCACCCGTGGTCCTGTTGATCCTTTTGAGCCACATGGCAAGTGCTGGGAGACTTCCTTTTTGACACAATTGAACTGTTCTGGTATGCCCTTGGCCATGCCCTGCATTCTGCCCTCAGCCTGGTATGAGATCGTGCCATGGCTTGTAGACCTTGAGCACAAGAAATACATCATTCTGCACATTGCTCCATCCGACACGCTGCTATAACGTTTTTTTGTTTTCAAAAAGACATGATGACATAATTCATTGTGTTTTTCATATTCTTCTGGAGATCCATCGCCTTTTATTGAACAAGAAGCTACTAGGGGCTCCTGGCATCGGTACTAGGAGCATTCTTACTACTAGTAGTATGGCCAGGAGCACCTAGCAGCATTCTTGCTCCTAGTAGCGATGGCCTTTGCTCCTAGTAGCTTCTTGTTCCTAGTAGTAAGGCCAAGAGCCCCTAGTAGCGTCCTTTCTCCTACCCCCCCCCCGCGCGTGCGCGCACGCGAAAAGGTCCTAGTAGCTTCGTGTTTCAATTGGAATTACATTCTATTTATTTCTTGTTACTAGTCGTAGGGCCAGGAGCCCCTAGTAGCGTCCTTGTTCCTAGTAGTAAGGCCAAAAGCCCCTAGTAGCGTCCTTGCTCCTAGTAACAAGAAGTCTTCTTGCCCAGTTCTTTTTTCGTACTCTTCGTCTTCGCGCCTGTGTGAAGCTTAAGTGGCTGATGATGCAATGGCCTCTCGGAAGAAAGCAGCAGAGTAGCAATGCCCTTTGTTCCTAGTAGCGTCCTTGTTCCTAGCAGTAAGGCCAGGAGCTACTAGCGTCCTTGCTTTCAAGGCTGTTGTTATATCGGAATCATATTTCTCGTATTTTCTGGATACCTTTAGACCTTTGTACTTTCTTCTGTCTTCCTGTTTTTTCCTCAAAGGATCTTGATCTGACTTTCGACTCTTCCTCTCTCCCTCTCTCAAACTGCTAGGTCATCTTTAGAATGCTCTCTCGTTAGCAAAAACCTGACACAGTGTGGCAACTCTTGATTGTAATTTTGCAAAAAAACACCGGCAAACGGCATTCTGGCCAAGAAACTTGAAGCAAACCCATGCTGGTGCCACAGCACGACGAGCCCAAAAGCTTCTTCTGGAGGAGCCTGCAATGGAGTATGAATGAGCATTCAATCTTTGATTTTGCCATGCCAAACGATCACCAGATCACCTCTGGGGTATGTATATCTTCACTAGATCACCTCGTGTTGGGTCGGACATGAGCCAGTCGAACGTGTGTCCGCGTTCTTTCCCTGACCCCGCCTCAGGGTGCACAAGCCAATACCATTGAAGAGGTTCACCGCTGCCATCCCAAGCCTCTTGTTCACCATGCTTAGGACACTCAAAGCTGCCGTGATTTCGGCGTCGCAACAAGACCTGAAGCCTGGTTGCAGGCACCGGAAAAGAAGCCTTACTAGCAACAAGAAGCTACTAGGGGCTCCTGGCATCGCTACTAGGGGCTCCTGGCCTTACTACTAGGAACATAGACCTTTAGATTCTGTTAGACGATTTTCCTTTTCCCTTCCTTTCTTCAATTCTTTTTACTTTATGAGCTTTGCGTGGAGGACGTGTGTTAGACACTTAAAGTGGAACACCTTAAGGGCCATACCCATTGAACACAAATCTTGACAACTGAGGGAGATCCCACCTTTTTAGCTTCGTCCACCAAATGTTGCCAGGAACAGTCCTGAGTGAGAAGTGCAAAACAGCTGGAATGATGTGGAGAAGGCAATGAATGACTGGCGAGAGCTTTGCAAGTTCGTTGGGGTCTGAACACACATGGTTCTTTTGATTCCAACTAAGTCCTGGAGGCCATCGCTTGGTTGGAGGCCGTTGCTAGGTGTTTTTTCACACTTTCTGCAAGAGTCGAGGACTTCGTCACTTCGTCTCGACTATCCTACTAACGGAAGCTAGTAGTAACAGGTGCCTTACTAGTAGTAACAAGAAGCCATTAGAAAGGGTGGAGACCACCGTTTCTATGTTCATCGACAGAGTTTCCACGCACATTTGGGACGGTTCCAGCTTCACTGCTCGAGCCGGTTCCTAGCCGTCCCCTTGGAAGAACTGCTTGAAAGGCACAAAGGTCTTCTGAAGCTCCTCCGAAACCTCTGTCATGTACCTGAGAAAGCGGCAGAAAGCTGGTTTTTCTAAGATTTGTGCGAGCAAACGCTTCCAAGAAGGTGTCTTGGCCTTCTTCGTTCCCGCCGCTTCCTGCTCTTTACAATACTTCTGGTCTGGAATTCCGGAATCTCCAACTCCATACGACTTACTCCTCAAAAGAAGCTAGTAGAAACAAGTGCCACGCTAGTAGTAACAGGTGCCTTACTAGTAGTAACAAGAAGCAGAATAGCTTTCCATTTCGCCAACACAGCCAGGGGGCAGATCGAAAACACCGCGGATCGCATTCTCCGAGACCGCCACCTGCCCGGTGACTTCATCTCGTGTCCGTTTGGCAAAGAAGTCACCTGTCCTCTAATTCAATTTTAAATAGTTTATGATTAAATCTTAATTCTAATTCTTGTTTCTAGCTTCTTGCTACTAGTAGCGATGCCAGGAGCCCCTAGAAGCTTCTTGTTCCTAGTAGCGATGCCCTTGGTACTAATAGCAAACATGGTTCCTAGTAGTAAGGCCAGGAGCCCCTAACGTAGCGATGCCCTGACCGCTCCCAGTAGCGTCCTCTTTTGCAAAGAAATGTGCGTTTCAAGGCTCCAGAAGGAGACGATGTTGGAAAAAGAAGCTATTAGAAACAAGTGCCACGCTAGTAGTAACAGGTGCCTTACTAGTAGTAACAAGAAGCTACTAGTAACAGGTGCCACGCTAGTAGTAACAGGTGCCTTACTAGTAGTAACAAGAAGCTACTAGTAACAGGTGCCACGCTAGTAGTAACAGTTGCCTTACTAGTAGTAACAAGAAGCTATTAGGAAAAAGAAGTCACGAAGAGGAAAACGAACGGCTTAGGACGTGGCCTTTTGGAAGGTCAAAGAGTCGAAAGAATGGAAAGCAAAAAAAGCCGTTGCTACTAGCGATGCCCTTTGTTACTACTAGCGTTCTTGTTTCTACTAGTAAGGCACCTGTTACTAGAAGCGATGCACTTGTTCCTAGTAGCTTATGGCAACACAAATAGAACACAACACATGCTCACCGGATGCATCTTTGGCAGGATCGCGGCTCGGCGGCAGCGAGGTCGCTTCGCCCTAGGAGAAGTGATGAATTTTGGACACCTCTCTGGCGGCGTTGCTTTTTGAACTAGTAGCGTCCTTGTTACTAGTAATGATTTTACAAAGAAAGGACAAAACAGAAAGGTCTACATACACCATCAACTAATACAAGCTACAAAAGGTAAGCCTTTTCCCATTTTTGGCCTAACGTGCTCTTAAGGTATATAATTTCATATAATGCATACCCTAGCGCTTTCTGAATCAATTTAGGAAGGAGGTCCAGTGCTCTCAGTCAGGTCCCAAAGCACAAATAACCGGAAAACAACAACTAAAAGCACCCCTGTCATGCAACTTCTTTTTGGAAGTAGCACGCTGTCCTAGGCTTCTTGCAATGGCTCCTGGAGCAGAAGCCAAGTCAAACACTTTCAAGTTACAATGCTTTCCTGATTGCTCTGTTGGAAAAGCGCCAAACTCCTTACTATACAGTATAGTTAGTAGGTTGGAGGCCATCGCACTCACGTCAACTTTCTCCTCAGATTTCTTGGGATTCGGTCGTTCCGACTGTTCTCTTTTCGCACCAAATTCATCAAGCTCGGGTGGCTTGGTCAAGCTCAGTGTGTGCGATAGCGACTTCGAAGCGGTACCAAGAAGTAGGTCATGCCACCCACTTCTGAATAGCAATGTATCTCGCCCTGAAAACACAAAAAGCAATGCGTAAAGGATTGGCAACCAGTTTCAGCAACATGTAGCAACTGAAGATGTCCGACACATGTCACAACGTTTCTTTCGACACGCAAGCTCTTGAAAGCTTTAAAACGCCCAAATCAAATCTCTGGCAACAAGAAGCTACTAGTCACAAAGGGCATTTCTACTAGGAGCAAGGACGCTACGAACGTAGCAATTTGCTACTAGTAGTAATGCCCTTTGTTACTAGGAGCGATGCCCTTGCTCCTAGTAGCTTCTTGTTCCTAGTAGTAATGCCAGGAGCCCCTAGTAGCGTCCTCGCCCCTAGTAGCGATGCCCTTTGCTACTAGGAGCAAGGAGGGCTACAACAACGACGACACGTTCGCAACGACCGTGTCTTCATGCCTTGGAGGTTTTCAATGCATCCTCCGTGCGGCTCACGATCCGACAGTTGAGAAGTTCCACAGCTTTTTCCTCGGAGAACAAGAAGGACGCTACTAGCAACAAGAGGACGCTATTAGGGGCTCCTGGGCTTACTAACTACTAGGAGCAAGAAGCTACTAGGAGCAAGAAGAAAGGCTCCTCAAAACAAGAACGGCTGCGTGGCTTTAGACGGCCATCGCTAGTAGGTTGGAAGGTGTAAGGAATGGAACTCGAATTCTCAAACCGTCAGGAACCGGCCCGTAGGCGGTCAGGAATTCTTGCTTTAGACCATTCTTTCCTTTCCCTTGCTCCTAGTAGTACGGCCAAGAGCCCCTAGTAGCGTCCTTGCTCCTAGTAGCGATGCCCTTGTTACTAGTAGCTTCTTTCCTTTCCCTTCGTTCTTCCTTTTTGCACAACTCATGCTTTCTTTACCACCTGATAAAATGCTTATCCTACGTGCCTTCGGTAGGTCTTGAATTACAAGATAGCTTCTATTGAGCCCACGTGAAGAGAAAACAATATGGTGAGAGTCCAGACCAAGTGCCTAGAAAGCCAAAAGAAGGGTCCAAAGGCCAAAGGTCTGGAGAATTGAATTCTTATTTCTAATAGCTTCTTGCTCCTAGTAGCGATGCCAGGAGCCCCTAGTAGCGTCCTTACTCCTAGTAGTAAGGCCAGGAGCCAGTAGTAACGAACATTGTTGCTGAATGAAAAAGGACAAACACAAATCAAGAAGAAGCGAAGGACGTGAAAAAAAGTACCGGTCATTCTAAAAACTTGCGGCATCACTTATTTTTTGCTCGTCCTAGTAGAAAGAGGCCAAACATTCCAAACAGTAAATACCTCCCAAGGCATGCCAAGGCCTCAAGAAACAAACAAACAAAGAACCATAATGTGTGCTTTCGTGTAGTAGTTGTAAGTTGTAAAGAGGTAATGAAGGCCCCAGAGCTGAGCTTAATGGCGCAGTAAAGGAAGGAAAACCTTCCTGTACAAGCAGCTTGGGTTTCTGGAACTTCAACCGACAAAACTTCCCAAAGAATTGTGAACTTGATACAGCCTTTGTGAGCTTGGGGTTTACAACGGCTCCCGCATGCCTGAGGTTGTCAAGAGTAGCTGAGTAGTGACAAACAGCTTTAGTCCAGCTGTGGGTCTAGTAGCTTCTTGTTACTAGTAGCGATGCCAGGAGCCCCTAACCCTTGCTCCTAGTAGCGATGCCAGGAGCCCCTAGTAGCTTCTTGTTACTAGTTAAGTTTCAGTAAAAACCAAATCATTAGTGCGAGCACTTCCTTGAAGAAGCGTGAGCTATCCTGCGTCCAGCTACTAGAAGCTAACTAGTCACCCAGCTACTTAATTAAGTAGCCGCCTCAGTAAGGAGGCAGGACCACGGGCAAAAACATGGCCACTAGGAGCAAGGACGCTATTAGGGGCTCCTGGCATCACTACTAGGAGCGATCGGACTCTACTAGGAACAAAGTGTGGCCAAGCTTCATTCCATGCAGGACCCAACTCTTGCTGCAATGCCTTCGTGAAGGCAAGGACTGGTTCAGTAAGAGGGAAGTTCAGGGTGTTTAAGGTGAGTCTCCAATACTCCTCTGAGGGGGGGTACTTTACCTGCCCAAGGGCAAAATGACGAAACCAAACGAATAACTTGCCGAGTGCCTCAAAACAGGCCGAGCTGATTTGTACACCTGGCAATGAAACTGAAAGAGTTCAAGTCCTGTCACATGGAAAACATTCATGCAACAAACCTGCAAAACCTGCAAACACAACCTTAAGGTGTTTGGGTCATCACTATTTGGTTGGAGGCCATCGCTACTAGGCTGGAAGCCACAACACCGCACTACTCTGCAGCAATACCCTCACCGCATGCACTACCCGACTACCCATTCCTCTCAAACCTTTTCTTATCATTCTTACTCTTCTTTTCTTCTTTTTTTCTACCTTTTCTCTTTTTCCTTGCGTTCCTTTTCTTTTCGGTTTCGGGTCTCTTGGGCTTTACTACCCTGGGTCCCTACGACCCCGACCGGCTTCTCTGCCGCGGTTAGTCACTGCCTTCATGTCGTCCAACTTTAGAACAAACATGGAAGGAGGCCTAATAGCGACGGCCTCCAACCTACTACCGGTGGCCTCCAACCTCTAGTACAGGAACAATAGATTAAAGCAACAATGAACACTGTTCTGTTTAATCTCGTACGAAAAGAGCTTGCAAAGGTTGGCGCCACTTTCGAGAAGGCAGAAATCCTGCCGGCTTGACAGCCAGGAGTGGAAGTCCCCTCCACAAGGTCCAGAATTGAGCAAAGACTTCCTCAGTTCGGAAACGCTACTAGGAACAGGTGCATCGCTAGTAGTAACAGGTGCCTTACTAGTAGTAACAAGAACGCTACTAGTAACAAGGGCATTACTACTAGGAGCAAGGACGCTACTAGGGGCTCCTGGCAATAAGCTTCCTCAGTTCGGATCAAGCAAAACTACTTAGTAGCGATGCCCTTTGCTCCTAGTAGCGATGCCAGGAGCCCCTAGTAGCGTCCTTGCTCCTAGTAGCTTTATTGTTACTACTAGTGGGCACTTGTTACTAGAAGCGATGCACTTGTTACTAGTAGCATCTCTTTCTTTTCCCTAACAAGTGCCACGCTAGTAGTAACAAGTGCATCGCTACTAGTAACAAGTGCCTTACTAGTAGTAACAAGAAGCTAGTAGAAACAAGTGCCTTACTAGTAGTAACAGGTGCCTTACTAGTAGTAACAGGTGCC